TTTTAATATAGTTATGGAAGCATGGAAAATCCATGCTTATTACACCAAAATCTCTGACGTTAAAGATACCTTCATATTTTCGTGTTATGTTTATAGACATATTAGCTTCGTCAGTTACTTTTCTAATACAACTTGTCTGTTTCAAATAAGATTTCTAAATTAAATCATGAATTTGCCTCAAATTGTTAACGCTTGACGCTATTGATAGGGACTACGATGGCGATGACTCTATAAATTGGATATGACGACACGTTTCCGTAACAGACTGTATATTGAGGTATCTCACAAAACATTTCGGTAACGCTTTATGGTAATTTAAACAGTTAAGGTAAGTATGTCAAGAGGGTTGATTTTGTATTTCGTATCAGAAGAGAAACCATTGTGTGTATGATACTTCACTGTAATTATGATTGAAATAAAATTATATGAAATAGGAAATTGAGTGTTATTCCCTGGAAATGAAGTTTAATAATAATTATTTTTGAAAAAGCAACATTATATTTTAATCGCAAACGTTGTTGGCCTTTAGACATAACTATCTTATGATTAGAGGTTGGTGCATCAAATCAACTCTAAAACAAACGGGCTAACTTTATTATGCATGTGTATGTGCATAGCATGGTTTATAACAGCGAGAGCAGAAAAAAAATTTGGGACCAACAGTTGGACACTATTTTTTTCGATACCTCTACAGTTTCCATAATAGTTTTTTATTAATTTAAAATAAATTAATTGTTAATATAAAAGATTTTCTGCCTTCGTTATCTTCTTTAACTATAGTATAGTAGATACGGTATAAAAATATTTAAGTCCAGGAAGTACTACGACAAGAATTGGTTATTATTGTCCCACCAAAAATATAAACGAATGAGCCTTGCGGTAGTTACACATGAGGTGTGTCATCTGACATTTCATCTATCATCTAACAGCCAACAACCTGATGTGCACATTGGTCGAATCGAATAGCGTGTGCTTCATCGGCTTCCTGTTACAAATCACTTCAATTTTTTTTAGGAAAATCGGGCAAAAAGAAGTTATATATTAACAAGCCAGTAACGTCAAACAACAACACTGAAATTGTTGAACAGTTCAATCAAATGGAAGGGAAAGTGTTACTTCACACCATGCTAGGGTATCTTGCTGTTTAACATGCGCAGAAGATCGTAAGATGACGACTTTATGGGTTTCCTCCGGGGACTTGCCTAAAGCTTATTTTCATAAGAATATTTGAGTAAATAATAATAATAATATTTTCGATTTACTCCTTTTCCACAAAGCAGCATGTTAAACCGATAAAAGGATTGGAAAGCCTCAACCCAACGGTCGAAAAACCGGTTTGTCCTAAGCAAACGTTGCCGCGGTAATTGATACAAAGTTATTCATCCTCAGAATTCGAAGCTTTCCTAACAAGCAGGTCAAGTACAAGTCGAACTTCGTGACCTTGACAGAATAAAAAAAAACAGAGGCACTCTGTGAGTGCCGACAGAAGTCGTTGTTCATTAAGGAAAAAATTTAAAGAAATAAACATAATGACAGTCAATTTAAATATGAAAATGTAATATATTTTCATAAAAACAAAAGATAGCTTCTTGAAAGGAAGTGATTTGGTATTGGTATTGGTGGTGGGCTTCGGTTTCCGCATTTAGACTCAAGAGTGGTCCTTTATGCGTCGAGGATTGGTTAGCTGCAGAAGCCTCCTGGGGCGTTCACAGGCTTCTAGGAGCGATCTTGTCTCAGGAATAATACTTGCCCGTTGTGCGGCTACTCCCTCGCATTCCAGGACTACGTGGGCGGCCGTTTCCCCTGCTTCCAGACATCCCCTGCACAGAGGGCTCTCCGTCCTCCTCCTCCGGTTCTTTCGAGAAAACTCCGGCTCCAGTTCCTGACCTAGTCTTGGAATCGAATTCGGACTTCATTAATGCCGGATTGAACTCGGTCATTTTCTCGCATCTGGATGTGGTATCTTTTTGTGAAGAAAGGAAGTGATGCACATGCTTTAAATACCAGAAATAGAAATAAATTTGATGTACCGGCCTCTAGACTTCAAAAGATTAACAAGTCATTTCGAGGTCAATGTGTCCGATTCTATAATAAAATCCCAAATAGTATACAAGATTTTAGTATAAACAAAAATATATCCAATATAAAACGTAAACTATGTCAGAAAACTCAATTGTGGATGACATAGAAGACAAGAATGCTTGGGATTAATTTAGCACAGGCTATTTCGTAGTGGAAATGTGATGTGGGCTAGTGTCTTTTAATTTTCTATCTTTTAATGTTTTATTTCACTTTCTTTTTTATTGCATCTCATTTCTAAATCTTGTTTTCTCTATATTGCCTTTTTACCTTTTAGTCCTTAAAACTAACATACTGGCACATATCAAAACAATGTTTTGTATATTTAATGAAGCTATTGTATTATTACGTATATTAAGTTTGCTAAATATTTGAAATAGCTGTTTGCTATTGTGTGTACTGATCTATGACTTTAGAGTCTACACAAGAGACGATTTCAAATAAAAATATTTTGAGTTTGAGTGAAAACTCATATTTTTTAATACGCAGATGTCGGTTACGATAACAGTGTCGCGAGTTTTCATGATTGGTATTCATATTTATTCAATCGATTTCTTCCCACAGCTTTCTTCACGTTATGTCAATTTTCCCGGAATAATAAGCAGCCTATGTACGTAGCACATATCCAGACTAATTATCTATCTCCAAATATACCAAAGTTCATCCACATCCTCTCAGCTGTTCTGGTGTGATTTAGTAACAAACATAAATTCAAACTATCATATTTATAACCAGGTTATGCCCGCTGTTTCGCTCGTGTTAATTAATTTTTCAAGATAAAAGAACTCTACTCCAGGCTACTATAGATCTCTGTGCCTTTTATCCAGATCCTATGAACCGATCTGCCATGATTTAGTAACAAACATTCAACCTTACAAACCCATTCCAAACCTTTATAACTAGCACTACCCCTTCGCTTTTGTCCAAACTTTTGTTTAAATAAAAGTAGTCTGTGTCCTATTCAAGACTATAATCTATTTTTATACGAAATTTCATCGAATTCCGTGTAACAAACAAATTTATTAATCCATCCATCCAAACTCACATTTATAATATCAGTACAGATAGTAGTAAGAAATATAGGTTTTACTTGCTTATGTATTTCGAGGATACCCACCAAAAGGTCCCAAGGGCCCTTTTGTTTGGTCGACTCCTTGATAAAAGATTCCCGTCGGGCCCGAAAGTATTCGAGCATCTTCGAAATAAAAGTAGAATTTTTAGATAAACTTACTAATGACCAACGGTATTCCAACAATATAATACGAGGCTACAATACAATAAATACAACTATTTGCATTAGTTTATTTGTATCTATTAGATGCTTTAAGTTAAATTATTATGTTTTATATACAAACGATAAAACGTTGGAGTACGAAGGATAAAACGTTTTAAACGTGGGAGAACTATGCTTCAACACAAATCGGCCGGGTCAACCAGTGATACCACGGCCTCACAGAAAACCGGTGTTAAGCAGTTCGTTGCTTTTCACCGAGTCAGTGAGGTTAACGGAAGCCCAACCCCTCTCCCTCCGATTTTGAGTGGGACTCAAAACACGCCAACGCACAGGATAGGTTAGCCGTCTGCTTATTTGCTCCCTATACCGTGAAAGAAATGACTATGACACACGAACGACTAAAACACAAGATATTTTCACAATATAGAAAGATGTCCTGATAGCCTATCGAAACAAATTGCGATCTTGATGTGATGTAACAGGAACTCTTCCATTGAGGAAGGCGAACACTTTTTTACTTGAAAAAATGTTGTCGACTTCCATATTTAACAATCATCATAGGTATTTGAATACCATCTAACGAAAACACACCGAACTCCTCGAAATTATAATTCTGATGAGACTATTTAAACAACTTCCCAACATCAACAGTTAGTCGTGATCACCTCATCTGATCAGAGAATCATTCCTTTGTCTTGGATTGAGGAGATTGAAAGCAGTTTTTAAGTAGCAATTCAGCAGCATGATTATCATGTGTATGCTCCTCAGTCATCATTTTTGGCTTTAGCCTAGTTAACCCGTTCCTCCAGGGCTTTGAATGTTGACACTATTTTGGATCTAATAGAGATAGTGCGATATCGTCTTCAAAACCACACTATGGCTCAGCACATGATATTAATGTTTAGCTCAGGTGAACCAAAATACCATGGAAAATCTTAATCGCCCGCGAATTATAATATAAAATCTCAGGTGTCATTATCAGCAGATGCGGCAGATATTGCATAGTCCTAAGGTTGAAAGATACGCGTAATACAATACTTGTCTCGGGTGTCCTTCTAGTAGCTTAACAGCTACCCCTGCTAATGAGACCAGTTCCTAGAGTAGACTGTGCACTCAAAAACGCTTACTCTGTAACCATTGTTGCAATATCGACGTGCGAGGGAAAGTCCTAAGCCAGTCCTAGGTCTTGTAGTCCTAGACATCACCCGTTCTCTTTCCGCCACGTCTTTGGCATAAATGTCGCAATAGAAACGGCGAAAAAGCTTAGTTTGATTTGAGATAAAGCCGTGTAGTATGGTTCCCAAGGATTATTACAGCAACCCCCTCTGCACTTTGCATAGGAAGCCAAGTATATTTGTATACATTTAGTCAATAATTGCGTGGCATTCCAATTTCCGTTTCAATACCGTTAATTAACTGCAGACCTTATATAGACTGCAGAGTATGCCAGTACCATCTTTAGTTACTTACTACATAATATAATGTTAGTAATTTGTTTCCTGTTATTTAGTATATAATACTACTTAACACCTACTGTAAAAGTAACAAAAATATAAAATTAAATGACACTAATTATGAGTAAATATATTAGCGAATTGATTTGATTGATAAACCTATAAATCCCTAAACGAATTAGCGAAGTGTTAGTTTTTTCTATTTGTTTTCAAAACGAAAGACAACAACATACCTTGACAGTTCGCAGCGCGCCATGAGCGGCATCCTCGGTCCAAACCTTCACTCCGTCCTTTTCGTACTCTAAATTCCAACCAACTTCAGAAGCCAGAAGGCTTTTTAGTGCTTCAAAGTCAGAATCGTCAGCTACGCGCGCTTCGCCGCGCGCCCATCCCGCGCCTCCCATTCGAACGCAGACATCACACCGCGATGCACACGGTAAACTAACTATGACTGCCCGCTACTTCGCGACAACGCGAGTCGATTCCACGCGCATGCGCGGAACGGACCCTCGCCTTTTTAATTTTACTACCTTTTTAATTTTGATTACTGGCAATTGGTATTCTTTGCTATCGTATCATTTCTGCCAATACCGCTCTTTTGTTTTTACTTATCGAGGGTAAGGTTACCTCTAAGTTAAAATGTAAACTCGTCGAGTTCAAAAAATAAGAAAGAAAAACAAGTAATTGTATTATTTTGTAGTTGAATTATTTACGAAGAACAAAGAAAACTCCAAGGACTTAAAATAAACTTTATTACTGCCTGTTTAGTCCCCTTCAAATTTTAAGGAAAACTACCAACTTTAAGAGTAGGAAATAAAGAATACAGTTTATTACAATTCATTACTTAATTGTAGAGCCTGTTGGTCTAGTGGTTAATGCCCTACTAAGGCAGGTCGTGGGTTCGATTCTAATCCAGGACAAATATTGTGTGATAAGCACGGTCATTTGTTGTGTCTTGGTGTAATTTATGTATAATATGTCTGTATTTTAAAGTATATAAATTTGTTTATCTGTTTAGTTTGGGATCAGACGGGCATTGTAAGAGATGTGTGAGGTATATTATATTAAAATATTGGCGCATTGAAGTTGATAATACTATTTTAAAGCTTAACTATTTAATTTACACGCCGTAACTTCACAAACTTTACACCTTAGTCAAAATATGTAGCTTGACTGTTTAGTGACTACAAGAACTATTGTATAACAGAAAAGTAATGAACAGTGAATAAATTTTTTATCCAACGCCTTGTAGCGAAACATCCAGATCTTCTTGACTAAGTATTATATATATTGAAATCCCTCATAAGCTTGTAAAGCTTAAATAATAACCTATTTGAGTCTTAAATGATATTTTTCAAGAAAAGCTCAGGTACAAATAGGATTGTACCTACTTCGGTTACTCGCAGACATCACATTGCCTAGGGGAATACCCATCTTGATAATAGGTTTTGTATGACATGAAAGAAATAACATAAAATTTTTGTTAAATACTGTTTATTTTGTTTGGCTTTTGCCTGGCGTTGATTTTACAGATGGTAATGAATATTTAATAAACAAACTAGCTGTACCCTGCCACGCTTCGCTGTGGCCCATTGTGATTGCATTGATTGAAATGAGAAACAGAACTGACGCGAAAAACTGTAAACACTATCTTTGAATTGGTTTGTATATCGTATCAAAATTTGAACTTAATTAGTGCAGAACTTTTTGAAGCGTACGTAACCCATTTCCATTTATCGTGTTTAACACAAAACATTTCCATTTACTTACGATACGCCCCAGATTCGCACGTGCAATGTACGAGTAGATACTACTAATATGGTGTCAGTGTGGAGTAATTAATTATACTATTATTATGATAGGACTATACTATAGGACATCTTTAAATTCAATATTTATAGGCCCGCTCCGATCCTGCGTAGTGCGGGAGTTGTCTTAAAAAAAAAATAGTAATAAATATATTTTTTGTATTTTTTACGCTGGCACCTGTAAATTTTTATAGCGCAAATAGTTTCCAGCTTTCTTAGGAGAGGCCTATGTCCAGAAGTGGGCTATCAAAGGCTGTTGATAATGATAATAGTAATATCGTCTGTTGTCAAATCTTCAAAGAAAAAGTATTTAAATATTTCTAGGCTTACGTACGTATTACGTTGAATAAAGAAAGAAATATATGTAAATTATTATATTATTATTATTATTTCTTCTAATATTAGCTCATCTCAGGCCACAAATTGTGACGTCATCCCAATGATAAAACTTTTTAAATTTGTACATAAACATAAACACGTGTCAATGAAATGAAATGAAATATTTGCTGAGACATTTTTTTTTTATCTTTTTCACCACTGAATCATACTTCACACGAATTTTTTCGTCCTCGTATAGGAAGAATTATTGCATGCTTGCATGTTTTATTATATTAATAAACAAAAGAAGAAATGAAATCATTAATGAAATTAATAAATTCGAATATTAAATCGCAACTGAAAACTTAAAATATTGTTTAGTTATATTTCAAGAAAAAATCTCGTGACTGTTTCGAGGCGTGGTGGTATTGCTGCACCACCATTAATCGCTGATTTTGAAGAATCCATGGTCCTTGCAACTATTCTTGTTCACTTTACGATATGTGTTCGGCGACCACTCTGGTTTTTAATGAAGTAAGCCCTTCTTCCGTGCGGATACCAATACCAATCTTAGGGGGTATCCCTGCTAACGGGTGTTAGCAGGGATATCCTAAGATTGGTATCCGAGGGGGTATCCCTGGTAACTGGGATCTGGTAACCCCAGAAAATGGGAATCTCTGCATACCTTTTATCCAGAAAGAACTAACAGATCCCGGCGGATATAAAAATAACTTTAACGAGAGCAGATCTAAAGAAAAAGATTGTTTCATTTTTATTTTACCACTTTAATGTTTTGACGAAGAGATGCCTTTAAGATCATTAAATATTCAAAGTACTTAAATGTATTATTTGCACTTAATGCCGCCTTTAACATTTAAAAGCCGTTTATGTAAATTTAAACACACAGACAGTAATTTTCCCTCTTGCGCCTTTAACTTACGGTTCGTTTTAATAATAAAAGAACTCAAAAAGCAAAAGGTGTTACTTTTCACTTAAAAAATATATACTCCCACACATCAGCACACACGGGTTTTGAAAATAAACACGTATAAATATTTACCCAACATTCTGGTATTAAGACCTATTTGTAATTGTATTTTTATTCAACGCCAAAAAAATAAGGCGTTTCTCAATTCGACGGTAGGTATTTTTTTAATCTTTGTTACCTAATTTTTCCGTCAATTTAGGGCCGATTAGCGAAACTCCTTTCATAATAGGAAGTTTATACTTCCGTCCTCCAATTGTCATCACATCAGGTGGAAAATAAAGTAATAATAAAAAAATGTACACAAGTAATTAACAGTTTATTATCAGTTTATTAACAGTTTATTACAATACAATGGGAGCAAACAACGCAGGACAACAACACTGCAGAGAGAAGGAAAACTTGACATAAACCCTATTCCAACCCGTCTGGCCAGCGTGGTGTAGTAGGCCAAAATCTCCATTCTAAGGAGAGGCCTATGTCCAGCAGTGGACTAGTAAAGGCTGTTGATTACAATTCATCATGACGAGGGGCTCATGGCTAAGTGGTAACCGAGTAGGTTAACACATTGAAGAGTTAAGCGATGCCAGCCAGCTCAGCCTATGGATGGATTCTTAACACTTTGAGACCTCTTCCTGCCTCTGAGAGCAAATTAAGCCGTTGGGTTCGGTTACCATACGAGCGGTAGTTGGATCCCTAAAAACTTCAACAACAGCTTATCGCTGTAATTCGGGGTGTAAACCAAAGTATGAAACCTGTTCGTTCGCTCGCTAGCTATCGGGTGGTGTGGCATTCGCTTTATTCCCGTTTACATACTAAATTGTATTTCATTCTCTATTCAAAACCTTTAAAAAGTAGCGAAAAATTTTCAACGGATTTTCCAGTTCGAAAAGCGGAGTTCAACTACACGGGGTCCAAAAATAACCGTGAAGTTTTTATATACTATGTGTAATGTTAATAGTTAACACATGTATATACGAGTATATGTAGGTTTCAAACACTAGGTTTTTACAATTTATTTCTTCAGTCTTATAGTAAGTTTAAAAAAATGTATATTTACTTTCCTTCCTTCCTTTTCAGTGTGGTACACGTAATTTATGCAAAAATTTAAATTTAAATAATAGTCAGTTGTATTAATAGTTAGTAGTTTTTATTACTGTTGTAGCCGCTTTTCTTCTCAGGCGGACTACTCACCGGCTGACCCAGTGGAGAGATCTATGAGATTACCTCAGGGCGCCTTCTAAGAGAAAAGAAGTGTGTGCGTGTGGGAAACCTACGGGACTCTTTAGAGGAAAACAACTTACACCTCAGTCATACATACATGTATATTTCAGAGAAAAAGTAGACTTACAATAAAAAAAAAATCAGAGGGTATAAAAAAAAAAACCGCAGCGGAGCGCGTCAGAGCCGAGCTGATGGTGCTCGGTGCCTCCTCGTCGTCCCTCCAGGAGGTTACTTCCTCTTCTGCCCGAGTCGGCTATTTATATTAGATACGGATAAAAGTTTAACAAATTGTAATTATAAGTTTAAGTACGTAACTCTTGGGTACGGCTGTCCGCATGCGTCGTGAGCCGCGCAATCACCAGCTTTGCCAGAGGGTACCAAGAAACTTGAGTCTGTACCAGAAGGCCACAAAAGAGCAAGCACGCCGTCTAAGACTGACCGTCTTGACCCCGAAATCTGGGACCCTACGAATGGATTAGCACTCATATAATTAAACAGGTACCAGAAACAAATAGGTTTAAGTAGAATTAAGAACATACTCACCACTTTAGTGTGGGTACTTTAAACAGACTACATATTACGAAATTCAAATTACACGACAATCAAAACACTTATTAAGGTTGGAAGACACGAGATAGCAGAGTGTCTCCCGTGGCAGAAAGCCGGACCTATATATCCTCGGTTCAGGAATCTTCCAGAAGTTAACCCCTCCTCATCATTTCACTTTGACATTTACATTGAGAAAGAAAACAACGCTAACAAAATGAAAAGTAACTTGCTTTCCACCATAGCTGAACACTCTCAACACCTATACAATTTGACATGACAGAATAACAAAACAGATTAAAAAAGGAAGTCTTTTTATCAATCTATTATGTCTCAAACCAACGCCATCTAGTGGTCCGAAAGTGAACAAAGGAGATCAATACCGTAGCTACAAACTACTTTAGATAAATCAACAACAAAGCGATGCGGACAAACAGGTGCCGCTTTTATCAATATCGTACGTATCACAAATGCACAACAAAAAAAAAAAACTGTTACACCACCCCCTCCCTCAAAGTATTCC